CCCCGAGGAAGAAGAAGAAATCGGCCTGAGATGCCACTGACCTACTAACCCGCTTTTGTGAAAATCACACACACACACCTCAGCAGCCTACACGCGTCTCTGCTCCTCTTGTGTGGAGCCGATGCCCCTTGGCTTCTTCCACGACTCCTTTCTCCTGCCTTCCCCCCCCTTCTTTCTTTCCAACACAAAAGCTTTGAAGAATCGGATTTCCAAAACTTCCCAAGGAGGGATCGATCCTCCGCTGTCTCGCTCCGTGAATGATCCCTGCCCTCGTGCGGGAAGGAAGGCTCGGGGAAGTTTCTCTTCCTCCCCCCCCCCACCGGCGGTGGCAAGGAAGAGGGAGCGCCAGGGCGGTTGTCAAAAAAACAAAAAAAGCCCTTGATCATCGCCCCTTTGCTCCTCTCCTCTCCCGCCGCTGGAGTCAGGCCGGTGGGTTGAAGGGGTCGGTTCCCTCTGGCCCTATAAGGGAGCCAGGCTTTCCAGGGCAAGAAATTTAGTACAGTATTTACCACGCCGGTTGAAGATCGTGCCTTTTTTTAAAATTCCCCCTAGCGAAAATAGAGTAGCATATGGCTCTTTTCAAAGGAAGTTGCTGATGGCGAAGAAGTGACAGAAAAGGGTGAACGGAACACAATTTAGCCTGTATGTTAGCAACATATAGTTACCGTGCTAATTAAGAATCAATTATGTTCTTGGAGTCCATTCTCTATATTAAAAATTCTGTAGGGTTCTATAGTGAAATATTATGAGAAGAGAAGACTCCCTGGAAAAGACCCTGGTGTTGGGAAAGTGTGAAGGCAGGAGGAGAAGGGGACGACAGAAGACTAGATGGTTGGACCAAAGCTACCAACATGAATTTGATCCAACTCCGGGAGGCAGTGGAAGACAGGAGGGTCTGGCGGGCTCTGGTCCATGGGGTCACGAAGAGTCGGACACGACTTAACAACAAGTGAAATATTGCACAAGAATGTGTATATTCAAAATATATACATTACTTTTAAACTACACGTGATATTTCACTCTCTATAAAATATAAACAGTGTTAATGTAGCTATAATAGTTTTTACATTTTTTATACTTAAAGAATATTATGTCTCGCTGCTGAGTAAAGTGTTCCTTATTTTAGAAATTAGCAGAATCGTTTGCCAATGTAGTAAAATGAAAGTCTAAAGACACCACTGTCAAATGCTTTCTTTAACATATTGTCAAGCTCCAGAATGGATTAAATGTCTTTTGGGCAGGCTAGAGTGGTATGCCAACAAGCTTGCAGGTAACATAAAACTCTTAAAAGGCAAAAAAGTGCATCTTTGTGTGAAAGGATAGTGAAATGATAAACTACCAGTGATGGAGCTGGTGGTCAAATTTTTAAACAATGGTATGTATGATTGTAGGGACATGGTGGTACTATGGGTGAAACTGCAGAAGCCTCTGTGCTGTAAGGTCAGAAGACCAGCAGATCGTAAGATTGAATCCACACGACAGAGTGAGCTCCCGTCGCTTGTCCTGCCAACCGAGCAGTTTGAAAGCATGTAAAAATGCAAGTAGATAAATAGATACCACCTTGGTGGGAAGGTAATGGCGTTCCATGTCTAGTCGCGCTGGTCACGTGACCATGGAAACTGTCTTTGGACCAACGCTGGCTCTATGGCTCGGAAACGGGGATGAGCACCGGCCCCTAGAGTTGGACACAACTGGACTAAATGTCAAGGGGAACCTTTACCTTTACCTATGTATGATTGTAGGTAATGAAACATAGACTGATAATCCTGTGTCAAGTTATGCCTCCTAAGAAGAAACCATTTTAATTGGAATTATTGCTTTTGAGTTTTAAAACTATTTGAAAATATGTTTTAGCTTGTAGTTATAGTAGTGATTAGAAAGATAGGTTACTGAAAGATGGATGTAAACTGGGAATGTCTAGTTTGGTCTGAAGGATCACAGAGAAGGCTCCATCTATTCTAGAATGTGATTTAAGAATCCAGTCACTGATCAATGAATATTTATAAAGTTTCTTTCTTGTCAAACTACCATGAAATAGTTGACCCATAAAATTAAAGCTGTGGTCTTAATCATTTGCTAGAGGATTTGGTTGCTTTCCTATACCCCTAAGCAAGGCTTGTGTTTGATTATATATGTACTTATATGACTGCATTAAATTCAAATGTGAATTTAAACAATAGATGGTTGAGCAAATATGGACAGGATTACACAGCAAGAGTCAATTAAATATTTAATAATCAGGACCTTTGCTTTTACCTGCATTTGATTTCTATTATTTGCCATTTTTCAATCCATAAACACCTCTGCACATTGGCTCAGGGAATCTGCTGCCATTCTTGGATCAAAATGTCAAGTGGGAATAGAGTTATTCCTTATTGCAAAGCCATGAGCAAAGTCTCTCACTGGCGGCATATAGATACTACATAATAGATATGCTTGCTTAGTTATTTCCAGTTGCTATAAATATGATTGTTGACCTTGTGATTATACAACTGTATGGTTCTTGAAGATATGTCCAGTGATTAGCCTTTGTTGTCTTTGAGACCCTAGAATATTCCTTGTCACTATACTTTGACTATTGATGAATAATTTGTAGTATTACGATAACTGTTCTTTCTCATCTATAGACTGTTTCTACTAAAAGGTTGGTAAATTCTGTGAATTCTTATTCTTTTTCCACACTTATGTAAATGTTAGAGATGTATTCATATCCTATGATTTTTCTAAAAACTTCACGCCTTGGAAATTTTACTTTATTGGGCCACAGATCCCAGAATCCCCCAGTCAGCACGGTTGTGGCTATTAGTCTAACATTGAAAAGTTTCCCCACTGTACCTTCTTCCTCCCCCACCCTGGAGTTTTTTAGCATTAAGGCAATCTTGTTCCTAGGTGAAATAGTCCCACAGAAATCAGTGGAAGAAGGGAATTGTGATTATTGGACCCCATTCATTTCAGTGGGATTAAGACTATGAATGAGATTGACTCTACATTGGATTTAGCCCATTGTGTGATCTGTGTGCCTGCACCTGTGCACGTCTGCCATCAAGTCAAATTTACTTATAGTGACCCATTCTGTGGTTTTTTTGGGTAGAGAATACATAAAAGTGGTTTACAGTTCACTTCTTCGGCCAACAGGCAGCGATTACCTGGGACTATGCAGGTTGCCCCATGACTACACAGATTGCCTTTTCTCCTGGAAAACACAATGGGGAATTGAACTCCCCACCTGTGGCTTCACAGCCAGACACCTAAACCACTGAGCTATCCAGCCACCTCCTGTGGTCTTTGAGAAATGCCAATAACCTAATATCTATATTCTTGCTTTTTTACTGCTCAGCAGTAGATTTTTATTTAACCATTCTTCCAGATTCCTTTATTTACCTGTTGTTCCCTTTGTTCCCTGTTGTTTTTCTTCCTTTTTGTCGTCTTCTCTTTCAGTTTTGGCTGTACTAATACCACTGCTGAATTGGTGCTTTAAGGATTTGCCTTTTCTCAGTTTCTTTACTTGCCTATCAGACATTATGAGGAGACTGGCTTTTCGTGGTGCTGGTTGTACTCTGGTAAATCTGGTAATTTATAGATAATGTGTGTGTCATTTTGTCCCTCTCTTCCACACATCTCAGCCTTTTTTGTTTTGTATTTGACATCATAGATCATGCTTGCACATTTATATCATTCATGAGTTTACAACTAACCCAATTCTCAGAATGTGAAATGTAGACATTCTAGTACAGCTATGCTACACTTAATGATATCTTTAAAAATATCCATGTGAACAATATGATGGGAAGCTTGTTACAGGTTTGCGTTTGGATTTAGCCTAAGTGCTAGATGCCACACTGGAAACAAATTTCATATATTATTTTGAATTTTGTTTAGTGGGCAGAGTTTGGACAGTGTTGCAAATAGAAAGTGCTGATGCTCCCCACCCCGGTCTTATTGGTACAAAAATGGGTATGAAAGTGTGATTTTAGGGTGCCTTATGGATCATTAATTTAAGGCATGATTTAAAGCTTTGCTGAAGATCAGATCAGTTTGATTTGTGTTGCAAAAGCAGAATCCTTCGTTTTCACTGCACCAATTTCTCTTTTGGTCTGCACTTGTACTGAGTGAATCCCATGTGTTCTGTTCTTTCGCCTTCATGTAATTCAGGTCATTTAATTCCATTTGCACTAGATCCTTGGTGTTATCAGAGGCCAATAAAATAAATAGTAGCTTTTGTTCTGCTTAATGTTGAGTGAGGTTCTTTTAGTCTCTATCATGATTTCTCCACAAAAAATAATGCATTTTTTGCTATTTTTAGAACAGCTTCATTGAGTGTTTGATGAAAATCTAAGAAAGCCATTTACCTTGAAGAAAACGTCTAACTATTTTCAGCATGAGAACAATATTTCTGTGTTCAAAGTCACGTTTTAAGGCTGTTGAGCCATACTGGCCCATTCCTCTGGATATTCCCACTTGAAATGGTTCTATGGTTTTTTGTGGCACAGCTCTATGTAGAAAGATGCAGGTTTTCTTGACATCATGTTCTTAGTCCAGAATTAGTAATACTGTACTAATTTGAAATCAGTATTAGTGATACAAGGTAATTAAGATTCACCTGCAGTCTCTTGATTTGGAACTATTTAGATCAAAGTTAATGTCTCACTTTTTTTAGGCATTGGCTATGTGTTATTTATCTTACCTTAGCAAGATCTCTCCTGCAACAACTTTTAGGAGTACTTGTCATGTTTACAGAACATTCTCATGTTATGAGAATCTCAGACCAAGCCCATATAATTGTCTCTGTGATGGATTAGGAAAATGAAATGACTCTGCATTGTGAATGGGTGATGTGTGCTCTTCAGGTGTTATCCTACAGCAATTTCCATTATCCAACCTTCTCAGCTGGGGTTGATGGAGGTTGCAGACCAACATGTTTAGGACTACTGTTGCTCGTCCTGCACATCATGTGTAGTGAAGGCTCCTGCGTATGATGGAAAGGATTTTGGAGACCTTTTTTATAGCTGTTTTCTGTGTAATACCACTAGCTGAGATGATCAAAACCTCCAACCCTGTCTTCTGTCCACAGGATTTTGATACACAGTTGTTTCGTTCAAGTACTAGGGAGGAAATTAGGTGTTGTGTGCATGGGCTTATGTGTTCCTCTTCCTTTTCTCACACTGGAGGACTTTTTGGAGGTTGACAGGAAAATCCCAATACTCCCTAAATTTTCTCTAGAAGCCAGGTCAACTCTCTGGAGTAGATTTTGAGAATTGGTGGTTTTACTATAGGGAGTATTTTGTTGGAAGCATCACTAAGTTTAGACAAAGAAAGCAGTATTTTTGAATTTCATTTTGGTCTTTTGTCACTTTTGCACAAATTATGACCATCCATACTGTGCTGTTTGCCATTCATGAACATGGATTCTGGCAGAGAATCTGCAGTCTCAGGATGTAAGAAAATATATCACACTTTATTTCAGTTAAAAATAGCCCAAAGGATTTTGACCTGAATGCATAGCCTTCTTCAGGGGTGTTAATTTCTTCCTTTTTTCTCCTATTTTAGTCTGTACTCTGCTCAAGAAAAGAATTTATTGGGGCTGGATACTGATCAAAATAGGAAAAGGAATAAATTAATGCCCCTAAAGAATGTCATAAATTTTGTCCAAAACCTGTTGGACTATTTTAAACTGAAATAAAATGTGATATATCTTCTTACATCCCAAGACTGCAGTTTCTCCTCCAGAATCAGATCTTTTGGTTCCTTTTGTTCTTAATTCATGAACTCTGAGTTTGAAAACAACTCCTCCCCCATGTTTCAGAAGGCTGCCTTGGCTGGCAAAAATATGTGGGTCATGAAACACCTGACTGACTGAACATATAACTGACTTGATACAAATTATGCATGCTCCCTTCCCAGTCATATTTACCATAACCAAATACTTTTAAACATGTTTTGAGTTGGTGTTGGGGCCGTATATTTTGGAAATGTTCTGCTCCAACAGTTGGTATTGGGTCTTGCTTACTTCAGGCATTGATAGGAGTGCCATAATTTAGCCAAAACAGATGCAAAGGACTGCATGGATCACTGTCAAAGAAGTGAGCAGTTTTGTTGTGGCTGCTCCATATTTTAAAGTTCTGTGTCATTTGGAGTCTGAAAGGTGCTTAACATATATTCTAATAAATAAGTTAAGTGGGCCATTAGGAATTAACATCCAGTGGCTGAAATCCTCTTGTACAGTTAGTTACACAAACAGTGTAATCTTCAGATGCAAATTGCTTTAAGCTATGAAATTTCCATAGACATTATCTGTAGCATGTTTAATGGTACAACTCAATAGGCATTAGATAATGTGTACAGAGATTTCTGAAGGCACTTTGCTTCCAAATGTTTTCCTGTTTATGTAGGTATGCAAGATGGTTTCAGCATTGTCCAATTTCTGCAGTTGGCTTGATTGTCTCATCTCAACTGTGGCTGATGTTAAATAAATAATAAATAAAAAAGATACATAAGAGAACATGTTGGTGCCTTGTGTAAGACAATTTTTTAAAAAACAGGTAGGAGCACTACAAATATATGAGGGTTATAGGTTTCACATCTGTCTTGACTATAATATTCATTCCATTGTTATGTTTTTAATCATTCATGTGCCTTGATCAGTACAGAGATGATTTAACATTAAAAGCAACGTCGTAATGTTGATTGCTTGTGAGACAAATGTGCAGAATATTGATCATGATTTTAGCTATCTGCTTCCAAAATGTTCTGTGAACTCTTACAGCTATTTGGAATTCAGAAGAATTGCAGGCATTGTCTTCTGAGATTTTGGATGGAAAATCTCAAGTTTAAGAGCGTTTTTCTTTATTATAGAAGAAGTTGGATTCCATGGGCTCCAAGCGGCGAAGGGCTACCTCTCCTTCCAGCAGTGCCAGTGGGGGCGATTTTGATGATGGTCATCACTCCACAAATACACCAGGGCCAAGCAGGAAGAGGAGACGACTCTCCAACCTCCCAACTGTTGATCCTGTAAATACATATTAATGTATTTTGCATGATAAAATGCAGTCAACCTGCTTTTTGACAAATAGACCTGCAGAATAAATAAAGCACAGAATTCCTGAAGTTTGCCCAGAATGTTCACATTAGAGCAATACACTCCAGATATACTGGAATAAAAAAACATCGTTAAGTGAAGCAGGGGACCTAAAATCGCATTCGTTATGCGAAGCATGGTCCCAAACTTCGCTAAGCGAAAATCGCCCATAGGAAACATCGTTATGCGATGCATATTATTTTCTAAAAAAACACATCGTTATGCGAATTCATCGCTAAACGAGGCAATCGTTAAGCGAGGCACCGCGGTATATGTTGTACATCAAGCTTCCTGTGTTTTCAGGTCTGAAGAAGAAAGGAACTTCAGTTTTTGCAGGACTGGCTGCTGATAAAGTAGGGATTGCACAATATTCCCTTGCCATGGTGTTCCTTCAGCAAAGAAATTATCTTTGTCCCTGACCTAGAATAATTAGTCCAGAGAATAGACATATTCTGGGGTAAATTAAATGTCACCATTTATTTTTCTGATTGTCATCAGATTCATGGAGAGACATGTTTGTTGGTTTATTAGATTATTATGGAAAGCTGTACAGGTGAGTCCATGTAAATAAACAGGATTCATATTTTGTGTGAAAGCATTAACAGTAGCTCTCAAGCCAGTTTCGCTCTTCAGTCTAGTTAGGGCTTTATGGCTTTTTCACAGCATTACCAGTGCCAAAAACTAGAATAACGAGACAGCGAAGAATATGTGTATAAGCCAAGAAGCCCATAGTTGAAATCTTAGCTCAGGTATGAGTTCACGAGGCAGCCATCATCCAAGCTGTTGCCCTTTGTCTTCATCCTTCCGTCCATAATACTGGAATTGTGATTAAGACTGTCCACAGAGAAGTGTTGTTAAGAATATAGAATATACACAAAATGTTTAAAGCTAAACGTTTTGTGTAAAACGTGGGTAAAAAGCTTTATATAGTGGTATTTTACTGTGCTTAATTTTTTTTACCCTGTTGGCTTTGCATTTTAGATTGCTGTATGCCATGAATTATACAATACAATCAGAGATTACAAAGATGAACAAGGGAGACTTCTGTGTGAGCTTTTCATTAGGGCCCCTAAGAGAAGGTAAGTGTGTGATGTGAAGTTGTAATAAGGTAGCTATTGCTGGAATTAATGAGCAGTTGCCAATGACTGCACACACAGGAATGTTCACCAAAGAGGAATTCCCTGAGCATTTACTATATTTCCTGCCTCAAATCCTAGATCCTTTTAGAGTGTCCCTATACAGTGATGGCTCACAAGACGAAAATAATTCGTTCCATGAGTCGTTTCGTATTGCAAACATTTTGACTTGCAAAGCGCGGTTTCCCATAGGAATGCATTGAAATTTAATTAATGTGTTCTATTTGTCTTGTGAAGCACAGCCATAAAATTATTTGTCTTGCGAGTCCCCAAAATCGCAAAACACTTTCGTCTTGCGAGTTTTTCGTTGCACGAGGCATTCGTCTTGCGAAGCATCACTGTATCTCAAGAAAAGATTGGAGGAAGTGGGCAATGAGAAGGAGAAATCCTCCTTGAACAAAAATTCCTGTTTAATGTGGTATTAACCCACTGCACTTTCAGATGTGTGAAATGCTTACACTCAACATAGTGGGGGAATCTAGTGACTGCCTTTCATGGCTGGACTTCTTTTATTAACGGAACTGGGAGGACAATTTCCCCTTCCACTGCAGCTCTGCAGGCTTTCAGAGAAGGTATGGGGATCCTGTGGAGAACATTTGGGAGTGGTATTCATGGCTGCTGGAGGTGGGGGATGGAAAGAAACTTCCTTTCACAAAATAATGGATTCTGTCCACAGCTGTTTAATTCATTTTTTAGCACGATAATACAGTGAAATTCTTAAATCTTTATGTTACATGTTTCAACATACTAAGAGGACTTAGTGTTTTTTACTTCACTATTTTTCTCCCTGACATTACAATACTTTCTTATTATAAAATAGAAAATATGACATAAATGGCAAAATAAGGACCATCTGGCAAGAATCTTATGGCTAAAAATTAGGTTCTTGAAGGTACACATATGTGACTTTTGGCAAAATGCTTTAAATTTATTTTATAGGATATAAAGTCTTGCATTTTGTTGATACCAGCTTTAATTGGATTTTGTTATTATAATAGAAATCAACCAGATTACTATGAAGTAGTTTCTCAGCCTATTGATTTAATGAAAATCCAGCAGAAGCTGAAAATGGAAGAATATGATGATGTGAATGTGCTAACTGCTGACTTTCAGCTCCTATTTAATAATGCAAAATCCTATTACAAGGTGAGACCATTGTTCGTTTTTGAAAAGAATTGTTTACTTATTCTGTTAGTGGGTTGCATTTGGATTAAGTACAAACGTGGGATGACTTCACCCATCAATGTATTTCACTATACTGCTGACTTTTCTTTGTAGTATACAATATATCCCTGTGCCTTTTATTCTCATTTGCTCTGTTCTGCAAAAGGAAATTGAATTGCCCTTTTATTTGTACAGGTTATTTCTTGGAGATCTATTCTGCAGTAAAAATTTTTGTTCTAAGTGATTAGATGTTAAAATTGATTTACTGAAACAGGTGTTAATATAAGTTCTGTTCTCTGTTATACAGCCAGACTCTCCTGAATTTAAGGCAGCTTGCAAACTGTGGGATTTATATCTACGCACAAAAAATGAGTTTGTTCAGAAGGGAGATCATGATGATGAGGACGAGGATGATGAGGGCCATGACAATCAAGGGACAATTTCTGAAATAGTGAGTCAATTTTGCCAGTCACCTGTAATCTTTTTAGGTATAAGAAATATTCATGCATTCTTTCCATATACAGTCACCTTCCCCTATCTTTTTCTTTCTCCTCTGAGTCAGATTTTAGATTATAAGGTCTTCAGGACAGAGACCTGCTACGTCATACTGTTTAAAGGTGCTACATGTGCTGATAGCATTATGGGTTTTTTTATCATTATCATGTGCAGACAAAAGCAAACAAAAAAGGAGTGCAGAAAGCCTAATATTTCTGTAAGAGCTTTCATGGGTACCTCCTCTCCTTAAGGTTGATGTCTCCATGAAAATTCTCTCTGAAATGTAACTGTTTAAGGTGCCGCTGTGGTTTTGGTTTTTAGCTTTGCTTTCACCTGGATACGCTTGCGCAGACTAGCACAGCTACTTCTTTTAAAACTACAATTATTTATTGCTTTGCTGAGGTTGCTGGTGAGTTGCATGATAGTATACATGAGTAACCTCTTGAGTACAGAGGACGATTGGAATCCTAATCTTGCTGCCCGTTAGGCTCTATATAGAGTGTGCCACCTGAAGGACTATGACTTCCAGGAAGCCCTGCAACAGCTGTCTTTCTTTTTTTAAAAATTAAGAATAAGAAGCAAAGGCCTGAGAAACTAATGCAGCATCAGAGATAAGTCCTTCTTTAGGGGTGTGAAGTCAAGAGGTCTCTTGTTTTGTGTTTGTGGGCTCAGACTCCCAGGATTTTCCCTGGACAGTTCTTGGAGAATTCGGGGGGGGGGGGCTGAAGTTCAAAAACAAGGAACAGCACATCCCTAAAATGGAATAAGGTTAATATTAATTTTTATTTCTGAAATGTACAATTTATTGTCTATCGACCAATGAGACTGTCCGAAGTTGCATGCTATATGTGACTAGTTCTTCATGGTCTCTGTAAAATTGCACATGTGGATTTGTTCTGTTACTCTAAAAAGCATTAAAATATACACTTTTCACCATGCATGACCCCCACTCCGAGGACCATCCTCAGTTCCTGGCGTACCACTGCTGAGAGAAGACCTCAGGAATTCTTAGAACCTACCATTATTAACCTATAGCAATGTGTCTGTATATACTTTTCTGTTAACTTTCTTTTAACTATGTAAAAACTTCAGAATGAATTTCCTGGATGTGTCAGTACTAATACACTCTTAGCTGTAATAGTTAATGTCATAATTTTTCTATTCATTCTGATATATGTATGCCCACCATTCTAGCTAATAAGATGCTAATTACTGTTTATTTTTTTCTTTGTCCTTTTTGTGAAACACAAAAACAGTGTTTAATGTTCAATGCTAGAAAAACAGAACAAAAATCTATCCACTCAGTTCCTCTGATCATTTGATGATATCATTTTTGCTTCAGTCTTCTCCAGGTTATTTGAAAGAAATTCTTGAGCAGCTTCTGGAAGCAGTTGTCGTAGCCACAAACCCATCGGGCCACCTCATTAGTGAGCTTTTTCAGAAGCTTCCCTCTAAAGTGGTGAGTCACAGTGCTTAAACGTATGTTCCCTCCCAAAGTTGTCATTGGAAAATAATATAATTTGAAACAATGCCAGTGTGTAGAATTCTTTATAAGTCCATGAGGCTTATGTAGTTAATAATAAAGACTATTTATAAAGCAAGCTGTGTGAACAAAACTGGTGTAAAATACAAAGAAATTCATATTACCAATGAATGAAGAACTATACTGTAGAAAAGCTATGTATAATAACTTGCAGAGTTTCCCTAGGAGATGTAAATAATAATAATAATAATAAGTGATGTGGACCAATTATATTTACTATGAAAAATCGGAGGCCGTGGATTACTGCAAATAGAGCAGGTAGTAGAGGAGGAAAAAAGAAGCCTAAATAATTATAACCGTACAAGCAGAGAAAAGTTACTTAAGGCAGGGAAAATGGAGACTATTCTGAAAACAGAAATAAAGGCTCAATATAAGAAACAACAATTTTAAAATAAATTAAACAGTTAGGAAAATAAACCACTACATGGATAACACCTAAGAAATATTAATGGAAAGCATGATCATACTTCAATATGGGCATGGCTAAAACTGGGGACCTTTATGAAAGAAACCAAAGGATTGATATTTTGCCGCACAAGAACAAACACTCCAAACCAACGTGCGGAAACCTAAGCTCCAAGGACTAAGTGCTAACAGCAAATGTCAACTCTGCCAAGAAAAAGATGAAACTGTGTCACACCTTATCTGTGAATGTCTGAAGATTGCACAGAGTACGAAATTAAGCATGATAGAGTAGCAAAATTAGTGCACTGGTCATTATGCAAAAAATATAACTTGCCGGCCTCCAAAAACCTGTGGGAACATCAGGTAGAGAAGGTGTCAGAAAATGAGGAAGTTAATATCTTGTGGGATTTCCGGATCCCAACGGATAGACCCCTTGAACGTAACATACGAGACATAATAGTAATAGAACGAAGAAATGTCTGGATCATTGACATTGCAATTCCAGGGGATGCCAGAGTTAAAAATAAAGAATTGGAAAAACTAACAAATTACTGAGACTTAGCAATCTAAACATCTCGCTTCTGGAAGGAACAGACTTCAGTGGTCCTCATAGAAATTTCACATGGTACTAGAAACAGTTGCAGATCTCAGAAATCGCACCATCAGAGCTACAAAAAGCGGCAATATTAGGAACAACATAATACTGTGCCAATATTTAACGGATACTTAGGTTTTTGGTTAAAACTTTTATCTGTTATATAATGCCAGTCAGTGTTTTTATAATTTTGAGTGTGCCTAGTCTTTTTAAATAATAATGATGATGGTGGTGGTGATGATGTGCCATCAAGTCAATTCTGGTTTATGGCAACCCTTTCCAGAGTTTTCCGGGTGGAGAATACTCAGAAATGTTTTTCCCTTCCCTTCCTCTGAGGGTGCCCTGGGACTGTGCAGCTTGTTCAAGGCCCCATAGGCTAGCTCTGGTTTCAGGAGGCCTAGTTGGGGAATCAGACTCTCAATCTCTGGCTCCTCTAGCCAGATCCACCTAAACCACTGACTGAGCTATTTATACAAATATCTGGGTTGTTTAAAAACTTCAGTACACTATCCGGAAATTTACTACTCATGTAGTGATTCATATTCCATGCCTGCTCCATGTTTAGGAGTGTGGCTTTTTTTTTGCAGCACAGCCCCAAATAGAAGTAAATTCTGGACTTTCCGTGGGATTAATTTCTATTAAATGTCATTAGGATTGCAGTCATCACGGTTCACACTGGTAGTAGAATAACTAATAGAGCATTGTTATATTTATTTGAAATTAAGTCACTTTGGTGTGTAATCTTGTTCTCCTCCCCCAGCAATATCCAGACTATTATGCAATAATTAAAGAACCTATAGATCTGAAGACAATTGCCCAGCGGATACAGGTACAATATAACTTGGGGAGTGCTGACTTGAATACAAAGGATTTTGAATACAACTTGTAATTAAAGAGATTTCAAAATTCATAAATATTCAAACTAAGTTGTAATTATTCCAAAGCAAATGCTCATATTAACAATTAACAACATTTTTTAAAATTCTGTATTTCTTCCACAGCCATCATTTGTTATTTGGTATTTATAATTAGTATGGGATTGGGTCTTTTTTGTTTGCTGTTCTAAGTTGACATTTACTGTTGAATTTTATTACATTTTTTAATGTTAATGGTGTGATAATGTAAGCCACCTAGAGTAGTGGCCTAGCTACTAGATGGGCAGGGTAAAATTAAAATGAATAAAATATAAATATATAAAGGTAAATAGACAGCAGTGTATTGCTTTACATATGCTGTACATTTTGCTGCTTGTGAAATTGTTGATTTTTATCTGTGCTTGGTTGATGATTAGCAACCCAATGGACCAGTATAGGTTGAATGGACCTCATTTCACATACTATGGTTGTTTGTTTGTTTTTATCTCTTTTTGTTCATGTTGTGTGATGACTTCAATATCTTTGTCATATGTGTTCAAATTACAATTTTCTTTTAAAACCTGTAATGGTCAATATATGAGTGAATGAACAGTAATTTCTGCTTCAAGAAACCACATTTTATTAAGCTGAAATCAATACATCTGGTAACATTAGTAGAAAAAAAATTATTTACGACCCTTAGGTCAATATATATTTAGCTCAGTGGGATTTATAGAAGCCTTGGCTTCCCAATTAGTCATTGGTTCTGTGAGTCAACTCTGCTTGGGACTGCCAGTAATGGCCTTAAAGTATAAAGCACATTCAGCTATTGAGTAGGATACATTTGAAATTTTGTATGTTCTAATGATGGAAGTGTTGCATAGCTTGTAGAGCAGCTTTTTGGTTTTAGATTTCTGCAGCTTTTGGGTTTTCCCCAATCTTCCTGACATCTCTTATTTTCGAGCAGTGGTATTTTTGCTACATAAGCAATATTCGTTCATTCATTCATTTATGCTGCCTTTCTCCCCATAGGGGGCCCAAGGCAATTTACACCAGACAAATAGTAATCATAGTAATCATTCGTGAACTTTGAAAATAGCGGGAAATGTGGTTCTGGTTAAACTGTATTTTTACTGATGTGCTTATACAGCCATTTAATTTACTATTTTTATTCTGAATCACTAAGATTAAAAAAAATTCATCCTTGTTTGGCCTTTATTTTGGCCGAGTGTATTGGCCCCATAGCTCCTGGATTGCGGGGTGCCGTAGGGTTTGATCATCTCTCCAATGTTGTTTAATGTCTATATGAAATGGGGTCATCCGGGGTTGTGGGACTTTGTGTCATCAGTGTGCTGATGATACGCAGCTCTACATCTCCCATTTTCTAACAGCAGTGGATGCCATTGCCCTTGAGCACTGCCTGGGGGCTGTACTGCAATGGATGCAGGAGAATGGACTGAGGCTGAACCCGGACAAGACGGAGGTTTTGAGGGTGGGCGCCCCTCCTACCAGCGGTTTGGGAAACTCCCTCGCTTTTGGGGGGGGTGACTCACACCACAAAAGGTGTGGTCCGCAGCTTAGTGGTCCATTTTGACCTACCATGGAATCTCAGGTAGCATCTGTGGTACATACTGCCCACCTACATCTTTTGGCAGATTGCCCAGTTGCGCTCCTATTTTGATGCTGGGGTGCTCACCACTCTGGTCCATGTGCTTGTAATTTTGAGATCAGACTACGGGAATGTGCTCTACATGGGGCTGCCTTTGAGCTTGATGCAGAAACTACAAAGGGTCCAGAATACGGCCACCAGATTATTAACTGGGGTGAAAAAATATCATCATATTTCCCCCCACTCTGGCGGCCTCACACTGGTTGCCCCATTCGTTTAGGACCTGGATACCTGGCAGAGCGCCTCTTCCCACCTAGCTCTACTTGTGTCACTCGATCTAGCCAGGCCGGGCGGCTGACGAGCTTGACTCCAAGAGAGGCTCGGAAGGGGAGAACTAGAAACTGGGCCCTCTTGGTGGTGGCCCCTTCTGGAACACCTTGCCCCTGGAAATTCACCTGGCACCCTCACTGGGAGTTTTTAACAACAAGCTGAAGACTTGGTTCTTTAGGCAGGCCTTCCCCCCCTTCCATTTCTTAATTTCCTTAGTCTTACCATCTTGGTCTTTGCTTATCTTTATATTGTTTGATTATGTTTGTTTTAAATTTTGTTTTATATTCGGAATGTAAGCCACCAGAGTAGATACATCGACTCTAGATGGGCGGGGCAAAAACCAGAAAAATAAATACATAAACTTTGAGTAGAATACTGCATTCCACTGCTACTTGTGGTTTTTAAGTTTCACCCACTGTGCTTCCTCTGCAAACGGGTATCAGAAGGGGCAACGTGCAGGAGAGATGTGCTGAATAGGAGGAGAGATTTCCGCTCCCTCTGCCCTATTGCCATTTACATCCTTTCGCAAATTTGCTTTCAGTCACCCCTTCAAAGTGGGGTGGCGTTAGGTGCATGTTTGAGATGAAAAATGCATTGGGAACTCAAGCAACACAGTTGGAGCAAGGAGAAGAGTGGTTTGTGGCTACATTATCACTGTATGCCCATGATGTGTTATACAGATTTGTTTTTTGTTTTTTTTAAATTTTGTTTTATATTCGGAATGTAAGCCACCAGAGTAGATACATCGACTCTAGATGGGCGGGGCAAAAACCAGAAAAATAAATACATAAACTTTGAGTAGAATACTGCATTCCACTGCTACTTGTGGTTTTTAAGTTTCACCCACTGTGCTTCCTCTGCAAACGGGTATCAGAAGGGGCAACGTGCAGGAGAGATGTGCTGAATAGGAGGAGAGATTTCCGCTCCCTCTGCCCTATTGCCATTTACAGCTCTTCCTTTTGCAAATTTGCTTTCGGTCATTTCCCTTCAAAATGGGGTGGTGTTAGGTGCATGTTTGAGATGAAAAATGCATTGGGAACTCAAGGAACACGGAGCAAGGAGAAAAGTGGTTTGTGGCTACATTATCACTGTATGCCCAATGGTGTGTTATGCAGATTTGTGTTTTTTTCACCACTTGTTCAGAGAGGTGTTCATTGCCTCTTGTGCACATATAAGGCCCATTGTTTTCAGTAGGCCGATCTCAAGCTGCTTATCAGACTTCTGGAGCAATTTAGAGCGCTCCACCCATGGAGCAATTAGTGCCCCATGATTCCTAACAGGTTTCTGCTGAACATTATGTTAAAAAAATTGATGTTGCAAGTAGGAAACTTTGATACATGATTTTCTTTAATCTCTTTTGTGTGTAGAATGGCAGCTATAAAAGCATCAATGCGATGACCAAGGACATAGATTTGTTAGTAAAGAATGCCAAAACTTACAATGAACCTGGATCTCAAGTGTTCAAGGTGAGTCCAAGAGCTCCTTGAAAAATCTGTCCTTATTGTCATTGATATCTCATTTGACAGTAATGAGAAGGATAGGTGACAGAACCTTCTGAATCAGCAGATGTGAGGGTTAGGAGATCTCTACTCAAGCATGCCTAAAATTTTATTTTAACTGTATCTGTCTATATACCCATAATGAATCCATTGTGTGCCATCAAATACATTGAATTAAAAAGTAGATTCACAGTTGCAGCCTGAAGTTTCAGTCCAAAATCCTGACTATACAAAGAAGTGAACCCCATTAAATAGGTGTTTGGAATTATTTGCATCAGCAGCTTGGTTGCTTTAGAAACGAAAATTGGTTTATTAGTGTCAACAAATGTTTTCCCAGGATTGTGAAAAGTTTTTTACTTCCTTTTTCAGGTTAAAATTATATAATTTAGACCCTGCCATTATATCTAAAGTAAAATCATCTATAAGAAGGTCACACTAATGCAAGCCATTTTCTATAGCAAAAGTTCAAATTTGTAGTATTTTGGAATGACACATTGTATGACAGTGGGTGCAACCCAGTAATATCCAATAGCTTGCATCCTTCTTCCTTGTTTAAAGTAGTAGTGGTTCATTAATATTATGCCTGCTTCTCAAAATTAGTAAAGAACATTTTTAACACAAGGTTTTTATTTTCTGTAACAGGATGCAAATGCAATTAAAAAAATATACAATATGAAAAAGGCAGAAATTGAACATTCAGAACTTACCAAATCAAGTCTCCGAGTCAGGTAATTTAAACAGAACAAATATTCACTTATTTCATGCCTCCTCCTTTATATATATAAAATGTTGCTGATTTTTTTGTTGTTGTTCGTTTAGTAAGTTTTAAACCATTCTGGGAAATGGTGGTTGATTTAGTAATTTTAAAAGTGTTTATGGCATTGAGTTCTGGAGGAACTGATAGCCCATATCATACATCCAGTTCTTTACATTGGCTAGGATATAGGCTTTTTCCATAGAGGTTTGATCCATTGTCAGAATATAGGCTTTTTCCATAGAGGTTTGATCCGTTGTCAGATGAGTGAAAAGACTCAGGTTAAAATTCTAGTAAACAAGCATGGCACAATTTATCCCTTAATAACCTGGTTTGCTGCTTGTACTAGTGAATGATGTTACTCCTTCTCCTTATAGTTGGAGATGGTCAATAAGTTGCATGAACTAAGTGAATCCACACTTCGTCTTGGACTTTCCCTAGCAGCTTAAGTCTGCTCTGTTAGGCCTACCCTTTCTAGAGTCACAGCAGATCTGTCAGTGTCTCCTAGAGCCACTTCAGCTTGACCTGCCTCCCTCTGACATTAAAGAAATTCATACAAGTCAAGTTCAAAGCTTCATCAGCAATATCATAGCATCCTTTGGGATAGTGCCTTGTAGTTCAGAAGGGTGCATAGACATGTTCTCATGAAATAAAGGTGCAATCCTATGTACATTTGGAAGAAAAATATAATTGGAAATTAGCATAACTAAGAAAGCTGTATATAATATGGGCTGTAGATCAAGACCGAAAGCTGTATATAATATGGGCTGTAGATCTTTTGACTGACTGCTTAAGATCTGTCAGAGAAAATCTGTTTATATTGCCTTTGTTTCTGCTAGAAGTGTTCTTGTATGAATGTTGTTTCACCGTTTTTCCTCTGTGAAATTTAAACGAAATGAAGACTCAGGCACGAGAGATGGGCACGAACTGCCCTTTGGACAAACAGGTGTTTGGTGGTTTCCAGCCCTGCCTCCTGGCAGGCACCCATTCAGAGGTCGTGCCCTGGTTTCTCTGCCCCGCCACCTCTGCGTTCTGCCCCTGAGTGGGCACCTGCCAGAACAGGCGGGGCTGGGAGGCACCGAACACTGGTCCATCCAAAGGACAAACTGCCGTGAATCACCAAACCAGCAGTTCGTGCCCATCTCTTTCAACCACTCCTGTAACCCTATACTGTATATATTTTATAAAATTTCAGCTATGTGTAGAAGTTGTGAGTTGAGCTCTGCAGCATTTATTTTGATTAATAGTATTCTGCTGCCTAGCTTTTGATTGTGTGGTTAATAGCTGCACTTTCCTAAAACTTGCCACATTTGTCTTGTTTTCTCTCTCTGTGTGTATGTCTCCTTATTTAATGGATTTCAGTGCTTAAAATATTTTAATTCATAATTGCTTGTGCAGCAGTTTTTAAAAAACACAAACTGCAGTATAGCAACCTGCTTATGTTTCATCTTTATTGCACAATTAGCTTGAAAATTATGACATGGCTTTTAACTGTATCTTTTGCACTAACAGCACATTCAAAAATATTTTCAGTATGCTTCCATGTGGTAACATAGTTAGACACGTAATCCTTCTCAATTTAAAAACTGCACGATGGTAGGCCTCTTTGCTGCCGCGGTAGCCTTGTGTACACGTGAAGCAGCATTTTAAGAGGAAATGCTGGTTCTCTCATTATGGCTAAAAATGTTTCTCAGACCTTGATAAATCAATAATATTTAAAATACCCCTTTTCACCACAGGGCAGCGGCACAGCCCTTTTTAACTTGCCTTTCAAAACTGACTTTGTAAAAGAGCTGCATTGTGTATTGTCTTGGCTTTGTGGTGGATTTCTTTTTCTCACTTTCTGTGGCTTGTTCACGCTTCATAAAGGACTTCAAATTTGGCTGCTTCCAAGCTGACAGGTCCTTCCTCACAGGGTAAAGGCAGTGTTGTCGATGAAAGAAATTCTGCTAATAAATATTACCGGTGAGTCTACTGGATGCTCTTCTGTCCTTTACACCTTTTTTTCCAAATCTTTCAGTTTCATCCACATGTGGAAAAAAGTAAACATTCATTTTGAAAAGGAATAAAGACTGTTTGGTATCTGGAAGTATTATAGTATCCATTGATTTTTTTAAATTCACTTATCTAAGTAAGCTATATTAGATGAAATATTTTATATTGCCAGAATACGCCTCCATGAGTCAAGAAAATATGTCTAAAGGAGGGTGACTTTGTACATAGCTTTGATATGTAGATGTCACTTCTATCAAAGGAGAAGTATATGTGCCATCACACAGAAAAATAGCACAAGTGTCTATTTTAAACAGCACATTCTTTTAAAGTATATTGATTAGGATTGCTGTCAAACAAACTTGGAGTGTAACACACATTCACCCTTGTGATTAGAAGTTGGACATCTCTGCTTTCTTAGCCACTAAAAATTAGGAGAAAGGTCCAAAAAAAGCCTACATGTCTTTCTTGGGGTATGATCTACTTCTCCCCAAAGTACAGTATTTCTTTTTTATTATGTAAAGTATTTCCCCTTTTCTGTCAGTGCAGTTTTAGTCCTGAAAAAAAGGCATGAAGATGAAAACATTTATTTATGATACAGGTTTGTGTCATTCATTTCTGTGTAGTTTTTGAAAGATTGAGCATCTTCTTCTTTAAAGTGTGTCTCAAAACTGATCCATCCTCTCTACTGAAAGACAGTGTTTTCCATAGGTCACAAGTATGCTCTCAGTCTGAAATGTCCACCTATTAGTGCAAACTACTCACAAAACTCTAAAAATATACATCAACCTTCAAACTATTTGACAGCCTGTCTGTTCTGTCACCCTACCACTACCTCATATTCTAGTGAAAAGCCTGTATTTCACTAGCTTATGCAGTGCAGACCATTCCTGTCCCACTGTATTTTATAGCCCATTCTGCAAGGGCAGCAGGCATTTTAGTAGCCCTGACAACAACTGTCTCAGTTTCTGAGCTCAGCCAGCCTCCTGCCTGATCCTCTGGGAATACATTTTCATGATTCTAAAAGTTAACAGTTACAGATGCAAAGCCTTCCTGACACTGTATACTGTCCCAGGACTTTAAGGAAACAGCCTAAAATAGTACCGCTGACATTGCTTTGCTTTATTCTTTGATATCCTGCCTGTGTCTTGACAGAAAAAGTAACATTGGCCTTTACTAAGGAACAATTCTTTTTGCTGATACTTGGCAAGTCTTCAGGCTCCATGGTTGCCTACATATTTCCTCAACTTCACACTAGGGGTTATCTGGCCTCTGCTGCTTCATTTATTGGTGAAGTTGCTCAAAGGCAATTTGGCCCTTATTTTCATTTTTACCCCATTTGGGGTAATTTACCCCTGTTCCCTGACCACTGCTGTATACTGTCCCAGGACATTAAGGAAACAGCCTAAAATAGTACAGCTGACATTGCTTTGCTTTATTCTTTGATATCCTGCCTGTGTCTTGACAGAAAAAGTAACATTGGCCTTTACTAAGGAACAATTCTTTTTGCTGATACTTGGCAAGTCTTCAGGCTCCATGGTTGCCTACATATTTCCTCAACTTCACACTAGGGGTTATCTGGCCTCTGCTGCTTCATTTATTGGTGAAGTTGCTCAAAGGCAATTTGGCCCTTTAACTCACTCATTAGCACAGCAGCCACTGCCAAACTGTAAACGTCAGAGTGGAAAACCAATAGCATTTTTCCAAAAAAATGTTCTCAGCTATAGAACCCTTGTGTCGCACTTACCTTTTGAAATGTAGTCCACAGATACCAGACCGTCTCCATTGGCTCCTCCATCATGTTTTTGCACCTGTTACTTTTATACTTGTTGGTCCCTCTTGCCTTCCGACATAAGTTTGCCTATGTTTGTAGTATGTATCTGCATTCATGCCGACCTCTTTGAACAGTACTGTTTACATGAAAGTTAATATTTTAGGTGTAGATTGTTTTTTTTTCCACTCAGTTTTAATTTGCAAACTATTTTCTCTCAAATTTACAGTAACAAAAGAGCTGTCCAGGGGGATCGTTTATCAGCAATAACAATGGCTTTGCAATATGGATCTGAGAGTGATGAAGATGCAGTTCTGGCTGGTAGGGATTCAATAGAATTGCTAAGAAATTGTTCATTTGCTCAATTCCAAGCCTGTCTTTCCTTTGAACTTTAAATGGGGTAGTGACCATATCAAAAGACAACGCCCTGCTAAAAATGTGGCTAGCTAATTAAAGCCTTTGAAGAGGTGGTTGTTTTAGTCTGTACAAGCATGTTAGGCAAGAAACAAAACAGAAGCAAAAACAAGACAAGATAACGAAGGCAAAAGTGTTGTTGCACCTTGAAGACTAACTGCTGTATTTTAATGTGAGCTTTTGTGGACAAATTCTACTTCTTCAGCTGAGTCAACATGAATATTGTCTTGAGGCTGATTAAAGACAATATAAAATAAGTCTGTGAATGTCACTTTTTTGTAAGCGATGTTTGTGTTTATGATGTACGTGTGCTTGCACATGCACACACCAGAGTACAGTTCCATGTCAGATTTTCTCTTGTCCATCTGCATCTACAGATACACTCTCTGTGTTGGAGATTTTTCAACATCTGAAGCTACAGATTTTGAAATAGCTTCTTGAATACACCTTAAGCAGTTTTTTGTGCATGTATTTGTTTTTTCTAGCACATATTTATTCGTTTTAGCACATAGCTCCGTAGCTGGATAGCTCAATAAGTTTCGTATCTTGCTGGGAACCAAAGGTTGGGAGTTCAATTCTCCACTAAGCCTCCTGGAAGAAGAGCCAACCTATGTAGCACTGGCAAGTTGCATTGTCCCAGAACAACCCCAGAAGAAGGGCCTGCTAAACTACTTCTGAATACTTTTTACCTAAAAAGCCCTGGAAGAGGTCACCATCAATTAGTCAAGTCAACTGTTATTCATTAGTCTCATCTGTAGATGGTGAATGAATCAGTATATCTGGTCTTTCACAGCAGGAGTAGGTAAAACCTTTTGGCTGCTTGTAGTAAGAGAACAGGCAACATGTAGAAACCGTAATAAAGGCCTCCTTCTGTTAGAGCTATGAAGCCCTCTTAGATCCTAGAAAGCACTGTAGTCATGTTCTCTTTTGAATGAGCCAGTGTTATTATCCTTAATGTTTTGGATGAACGATTGTGCTAACATTGCTTAATTCTTGTTTCCTTCCTTCTAGCTGCTCACCGTTATGAGGAAGGGGAGTCTGAACCAGAGAGCATTACTTCCTTCATGGATGCTTCCAATCCTCTCTATCAGCTTTACGATACAGTTAGGAACTGCCGAAACAACCAGGGTCAACTCATAGCAGAACCCTTCTTTCATTTGCCCTCGAAAAAAAAGTACCCAGATTATTATCAGCAAATCAAAACACCCATTTCATTGCAGCAAATCAGGTAAAAATACTATGGCAAACTCTCAAATTTTGGAAGGTTTCAAGGATAGCCTGTTTTAAAGCTGTAAGTTAGAATCTTATGATGACTGCATTTGGTAGATTCGGTGCTTTTATCTATACAGTGGGGTCTCGACTTACGAACTTAATCCATATTGGAAGGTGGTTCTTAGGTCGAAAAGTTCTTAGGTCGAATCTGCATTCCCATAGGAATGCATTGAAAACCATTTAATCCATATCTGCTCTTTTCCGTCCATAGAAACTAATGGGAAGCTGCTATTCCGCCTTCTGCCACTAGAGGGGGATATATTTTTTGAAGATTTTTTTTAAAGGGGAGGGGAAATGCGAGATCCATTTACACGTAAAGGGGAAGGAAGTTCTTGGTGGCTATAAAGAAAAGGATTCCCTCCCTCCCCTCTTGTCGCAGAGTTTTCTTCTCCTTTCCTTTCGCTCCTCCTCCTCCTCTTCTTCTTGTGTGTTCGTTCCCCAGTGAGTAAAAGCAACGAGCCCCGGCTGATGAAGGACTGCTGGGGGGCGGCGGCGGCGACTTGGCTTGTGTGGGAGCCCTCCTACCCTTCTTCTCTTCCCCCCCCCGCAACACCGCCC